ACGAATAAAATGGCGTGCTGCGCTGATAGTCACGTTTGTCTGTTGATAGCTGACCGTCGGTGCTTACTATAACAACATTCATACCGGCGTCGCTTTCAGACGAAAATCACTCAGTCTCATATCATATTCAAACAAATCCGGGCGGGGCACTTGGTCTGACTGGCACAGCGAGTCAATCAGACATATGACCACGGCTGCAGCAGACTAAATGTGATGCATAAAATGACACTGCCAGTCTCTAAGTGGTATTGTATCACTAGCATCGTTGAGTGCCGCTCGTCTATAACAAGAACACGCTGTCAAGGAACGTGTGCAAATGATATGATCGGAGCTTAAACGAACTCCATGAAAATGCATCGGGCAGCGCGCGCATACAAATGATGTATGATATGGCTTACATAAGTCACCTTCCTCTGTTGGAGTTTGAATGCAGACCGGTATTGCGACGCTGGCTGGAATTCGGAGCAATTTGGCTTCCGTCTCCATTTTTACAGTCGCACCCTGCCTTCAGTCTGAGCTCATTAACGAGGTTGAGCTTAACAAAGAAGTTATTTGGTGTGAGAAGCTGAAGTAATGTCCTCATGCTCTTCCCAACTCATGAGATATGTTTCCCTTCGCCGGGAGTTGCATATTTACGTTGTGATAGTCCTGTAAACTTTTAGCCTAAACACAGTGACAATAGGCGAGCATCCAGTGCTGGCGTCTCATTACGTCCTAAAGCGTAGACAGTACAAGTGGCAACGGCGCAGACGCTCTGGTTTCGATGCGGTTGAAAGAATGCCTTTTATATGATAATTCCTCTCTCATTTAAGTGCAATTATAACTAAACAACACTGTTTGAGTCCCCAGTCCCTTTCAGCGGTCAACTATTGTTGATCTCACTAGATGGTCTGCATGCGACCGCATGGTTCCGCATAACAAAATCCTCAGGGTCGCACACCGAGGGCTCAGGGTTACCGGGTGTCGTGTGTAAGCAACGCCCGATGTGGATTGCGTCATCAGGCAGTCATGGCGCGGCACCGTTTGGACGCCAAGCCCTGCACCGCGGCTGCCTGGCATCGCGGCAATCGCACGGAGTCGCAATCTGATGAGAGGTTTATCGAGTGGTGAAACGAATTAGTAAAGCATGGGGACTTTTCGCAAGTCTGAGCTTTGCAGCGAAGCCGGGTAGCAGTCTGCTGCGTCTCGATTTTTGCTTATCAATAGTCCATGATTTGACTCCCTTCAGACACCTTACATCTGCAAGGCTCCAAAGACACTCTTAATGATAAACAGCGCGAGGACTTCATCTTACATCCACTTCCGCGTATGCTGCGTTCAGAAAACGAAAAACAGAATATTGCCTCGTACTAAGACTTATATTTTGCTAGACAGTGTGCATCAGTTCATGAAAAATAAAACAATTTCAGGTCAGGGAGTCGCATCAACTTGCTGATTCCTGTCGGACACACCCGCACTGGAGCGGGCACCAGCGATAGGCACAAACGCATACGATATTGATCTAAACACGCGGAGCCGTATCGATGGGAAATCAACAAAATAAAAGCAATACATACAGAAAAGGAGTGTAAATAGCAAACAGTCTACATCGCTTGGCGGTGGTGTGGTCAGATCCTGTTCAGTGCGACTAGCGTTGCAAGAATACTGTGATCACAGGCAGTGTCGGCGTTTCCTGTTCCCGTGTTCGGCGGCGGTGGCGCCGCCGCACGGCCGACAGGAGAAACGACAGCGGCGGCGTCGCCGTCACATGATCGGTGAGCGAACCAGCAGCGGCGGTGGCGGCAAGACCAAGCGGCGACGAAGCCACGGGCAGGAACAGACCCTGAGCTAGCGGCGCGGCCGGCGGTGGCTCCGGCAGGAGGTCATTCTGCGGACCAGCCACAGCGGTGGCGCCGCCCGGTGACCGCCCAGCGAACCAGCCCCGGCCGGCGACACCGGCGCGCCTCGAGCAGCCGCGCGCGCTACCCTGAGATCGAGCCGACCGGCGGCCGGGCGGCGTCAGTTGATGGAGGGAGTCGGCCCGTGCCACCGCACGTCCACCCGCGGCCACTTGCTCTGCAGACAGGTCAGGATGGTGTTGGCCGACGTGGAGCTCTGCACGTCCGTCTCCAGCAGGCAGGCGTCGCCCTTGACCAGCTTCACCTGCGGCGGCCCCCAGGGCAGATCGCGAGGCGTCAGAGACCGACGGCGACGCTCAGCGTGGCTCGTCGCCGCATGGTTCCCTCGCCGCCTGCCGCTCCGCAGCTTTCAGAGCACCATTTTTGGAACAGAGCCACGACACTGGGGGTCGCATGTGTACGAGCGGCATGGCCAAAAAGGCAAAGCCACATCTTTCTCGCAGGGCGGCAATGGCATGTTTCCCAATCGTTGCTGGCGCATCTAGTCTCGATCATGCTCGCAGCAGGTTTTCGCGTCGAGTAGCCGGGTCATTCATCGCACATATTGTGTGATCGCCCCCCCCCCCCCCCTCCCCCAGCCCCTGTCCGAGCACGCACCTTGCCATCCGCGTTGCTGCGGATGAGGCCGTTGCAGTGGTACACGGTGAAGGCGTCCGGTTGTCGGCCGGCGGCGCCCTCTGGGAAGAACTCGTCCAGGAACGGCACGCGCAGCACAATACCCAGCTGGTCCGGGTCCAGCGTCTTCCGCATCAGCTCCACGCTGTGGGGCGCCGCACCGCGTCACCGACCCGGGAAGGCTGGCTCGGGGGCCGGGCCCTGTACCCCACACAGAGTGCTGCGATCTACCGGCCGCGCGCGCGAGACGGCGCTCCTACCGACGACAGTGGTGGTAACGACAAGTAAACTGGCGGTGATGACAGCAGGCATGCCGGCTCTATCGACGCGGCCACGTCGATTACATGGGATGCCCACAAAAAAACATCTCCTGACTTCGGCGACCTCCGACCCGCAGCGGAGAGTAAGACCAAGAGTGCACTGACGGATGACCAACGGAGGCTGCTCACTATTCGTCCACGGTGACAAGGTCGCAGGCGGCCATCAGTGAGGACAGCTCCGAGGTAGGATGAAGCCGCTCTGCTCACGGTCCAGCCGGTCGAACGCCCGCTGCGCCAGCTGGCGGGCCGACGGTGGCGCCGTCAAGCGGTCGTCCGGTGCAAATAATACTGAAGTGGGGGGCAGACAAACAAGCTTACATTCTGCAATGGCTAGTATCACAATGAAGTGACTACCCATCCTTGATTATGTTGCACAATGGCCCAGTTCTTGACAGAGATATGTTCCATCACACGCACACAATGTTGGCGTTTTTTTTTCGAATTTTAACTCCTGGGAAAATGTGCACACTGGATGTTTGGTCCCGTAGCCGTGAAACATGGCCCACATTACCAGAGGCTGGACTAAGAACGGCGCCAAGCTGTCTCCGAAGAGACAGCGCCTCTCGTTTCTCGGGTGTTAAGGCAAAGGCTCCACGTTCGAGGCTCAGACCAGACTCTCCGGCGGACGATCCCCGCTCGCACGTACCTGTGAGGTGCGTTTCCGACGCCAGCACCCAGACTGGGTGGCGGGGATTCTTGAGGTTCCATCCGACGGTGCAGTAGTGAAGCCGCTCCAGCAGCGTGAGGAACCCCACGCCGGGCTGCGACAGCACGCCCTCCAGCGCTGGAAAGGCACGTGCGCATTAAACCAGCTGATGAGACACGGTCGTGGAATACAGACAATTTGGACGTTACACTGCTCGGCGATTGCAGTGTAACCTCAAAATCGTAACCTCCAGTGGCTCCTCCGCACGTGCGACCTGACTGAGGGTCGTGAATTTATCAGAACGGCGGTCGAGAAACTGGGACCAGCATCACCAGGGCCAGGACGATAGCCGAGCATCGCAACCGTACTCCCAGGTCACGCCCTCCCCGGACGTGTCTGCGCGCCGCGCGGCGGGTCGTGATGCGGACCCACCGATGCCGCCCACGCTTTTGACGTTGTCCCAGACGTGCGCCACGGCGCGGCCGGTGATGAGCAGGTTGGTGAGGCTCTGCGAGCCGTGGCCGTGCACGGCATGCACCAGCGGCTCCTCAGAGTCGCCCATCTCAGCCTGGACCGCCTGGACGCCCTGCGGCAGCAGTACCGCCTCGTGTGACGCAGACGCACCGGCAGAAGCGCCCATCTCAGGCGTACAGCCTGGACAGCGGCACATCGTGTCGCAGTGGTGCAGCACGCCGACTGACATTAACACAATGTGACGTTGAGGCAAGGTCCCTCACATGGGACAATGCTTACTGGATTCAACCTGTTTCGGTTGTGTAACCTTGCCAGTTGCCTAATCAGGCGAACCTTACAAAAAAGCGTAACATGCATGCATCACTCATGGAACGTGCACAAAACGCGCCTGTCACAAACGTTCACACCATGAAACAACAGCAAAAACGTCCGGCTGCAAGAAACAGCAGCGAAAACAGATAAGCGAACCGCCGTCCGACCAACACCAAACGAGCACCGGCAGAAGCCGATGGATGGTGGCGGCGATCACCGAGGTCGCTACCGCGACGACGGCACGAGCTCCGCAACACTCACGAGTCCTTACCTTGGTCTGGATGAGGGAGTACAGAAAGGCCAGCACGCCGCTGTCGGCCCGAAACGACGATAGGTTCTTCCGGAAGTAGTCCTCCAATTCTTGGGCGGAAGATACCTCGACCATACTGGAAAAAACAGAAGTGAGAGTGACATGAACCACCATGCTGGTGTCAACAGCAGCAGTTGTTTACAAGAACACCAACACGATGAGTCTTCGGCAGCGTGGAGCAGTCCGCATTATGATTGTAGTCCAATACATTGATGAAAACTACAAAGTGACACTGGACATTATGGTCCCCATGACAAGATCGCCAGATCGCCACACATTGCACGGATGGTCTGCCTCATCCCGTCAGTGGTCACCTGACTCCCCGGGCGCCGCCTCACCGGAGGGCGGCGTGGAAGCCAGCCGGCGCCACGCGGCGGCGCTTGCTGGAGGGCAGCTCGGCGGCCGGGCCGGGCTCGCCGGCCGCCTCAGGCGTCACCAGCCGGACAGACGCGGCGCCGCCGGCGCACCGACCCAGGATCTCCGACAGCGACGAGGCCAGCAGCTCGTTCGCCTCCCGCGCCGTCAGCTGGCGAGCGCGGTGGCAGAGTGTGTGTGCTAGTTAGGGGTGGGGCAGGATGATACATGTGATGCACCATTATTCTCTTGGCTGCTGCTGCTACTGGTGCTTTGCATTTGCTTTCAAAAGAGACACAACCTACATGTAACAATATACACCAAGATGAGATGCAGCCCAGCAGGGCATAGTTGGATGGCAGGGTGGAAGCAGGCTAACATCTGTCTCACAACCTCAGAGCAGCACAAAATGTGTGGAATATGTTACAGCTTTAAGAACTTCTCTGTGAGCAAACTTGGTGACTCAAGGTTAATGTTGTCTACTCAGATATCACTTAAAACTATATTGTGTCATCTGGTCATCTTAAATGGACACTGTCCTTCTGTGTCAGTGACTCAAAAGGCCAACAACATCCAATAAATATGCCACCTTTAAATAATAAACACAGGCATCTGAGAGCACACAAAATGGTGCAAGTGCTACTTCCTTGTAACCTTTTACAGTAAATGGTTCTAAGTTGCATTGTATACAGCATATGACAGTAATTGGCTTACCTTTTCCCATGAGTCTGGGTATTTTTCATACATGTTCTTGAAAATGTGAGCTTGCACAGGGGCAATGACACTGCAAGGTCCACCTTCATACTGCACAAGTGCACAGGGCTCGTCAGCACTGAACACAAAACCTGAAAACAACATAGCATTATATCTTAACAGAACAAGGCACGATGCTGGTATTAATGCATCCATTTCAACCTATTTATTACAAGAAAACCTTGACATGGTTAAGGAGCATGCATGCTCTAATAAAAATATTTATGCCAACCATGATTACACTTCCACAATTATCTGCCTCCTGGGAAGCTTGAACAGGCAGGTAAATGTCTGAATTCCGGCAAACCATTTCTTATCAAGGCACTGTAACTGGAAATTTGATATAGTTGCAATAAAAACACAACAAAATGCTTTCAATTCAGGCTGGACATTTTATGAGATAAGCAAACAGTGTCACATTACAAGCACAGTGCAATTTGTGCCAATTTCAGCTTACACCATGTCTACATACCTATTTAATGGCACCTCCACACCAAAATATAGGCATCATGCTGCATACATATGGAACAGCAGCCACCCTATAACAATAATGTACCCCTGACCAGTAAATCTAAAAGGCCTGAGATCAGTTCAGAGAAGTCACAGATTATGGCACATTAAGAATTCATGAGTTTAGGTTGTTAAAAAATTATGTTGAGAATTAACAGGAAAATACACAAAAACATGTTTGAGATGCAACAATTTCCACACATTTTAGCCTGACCTGAGTTTGGTGCACACAATTATCACCTTCAAAGCATCAATGTCACCTTGTTATTTTGTACAACAGATATATTTTTTTGCAGACTGGTCACCACTGAGGTCACTGCTTTCTCTTTTTTCTTGTCTTTTCATGATCATTATTAAATCAGAATCTCTCAGCACTGCTTGTTTACACAAAATGCACTGCCAATTCTTGCTTTTTTCCAATTAGACAAAGCCACAAGTGAAAGTGCAAAGTATCACTGGTGATGATATGGCAATGACAGTAACTAACAGTTTGTTAATTGTGCACTTACCCTGATTCCAGCGGTTGAATACAGATTCGTTGATTTCTTGGCGACCCCAAACAACAGACAGAATCTCATCAGCAGAAAAATTTGCAGGGTTTCCACTTGCCATCAGACCATCACTTGATGACTTGCCAAAATCAACACCGTTTTCACAGACACTGAACATCCCCTATCACATTCCCGTACACAAGCTGCTTTCTATCAAGAATGAAATGTATGTATATTAAGTCACTAGTTTGGTATTTCACCGAATTCGGCAGACAATGCTACAGCTCCAGTCTTCCGGAAACATAAATGCCTAGCGATGATCCCCCCTCACAATAGCGTATCACGCCCACTTCTTGACAAATACACGATCGCGCCAGAGGCAGACGAGTGTCAACATTTTCGCCATGATTGCCTCTAATTGCCGCAAACAGGGTCCTTAAGTGAAGAAGAAGACTATTGCAATACTTCATCTAGAAATGCTGCATGTCATGCATACCAACCATTGTTTGTGCTTTAGGCCCCTGAGAGACTTAAAAGCAGCTTGAAATGCAAAAAAGAAAATATTTCTACAAAAACCTTTTCTGCCAGTAATGCCCATTAAAAGCAAACAGGGGTGTTGCCAGGGATGCTGATTCCAAGACAAATTTGTGAATGGCGAGCCCAGTCTTTCTTCATGACATCTTTTTGTATTGGCAAGACGTAGGCTCATGAGCAAAACACACAATTACCCACTGCATGAAGTGTTTATCGAAATCAAAAACGATGTTGCGGCCCGGATTTTTAAAGGGAGATGAGCTTGGTGGGTACGAATCACAAATGTATTTCTAACTTTCTGTTGGGAGCCATCTGTAATGGAAAACGGAACACCTGGGTCTAAGCGGGGAGTGCCCCCACCCGAGCGTGCGCGACATTGGTCGAAATTTAGCTGACCCTGATAGTAACATCCAAACGAATCTCTGAAAATGTCTGCATTACACTTGTCATTAAAATTTGGAATTGAAAGAAGCGAGGAGAGGACGCAGTAATAGACCAAGCGATGCACTACCTGAACTTGATACTTAGTGCCAGGAGCAACAGACGGTGCGCCAAATTTGCTGAGTAATACAATTCTTGGATCATTTTTCCAGAAAATCCTCATAGCAGCAATTAGCATTTAAAAAGGTGATAAATAACTATACCAAGTCACTCCCCCCGCGTCCCCAGCGAGCCTGCTTAGTGTTTAGTGCAGATGCATACAATGTAGGTAGTGTCTGCTAAAGATTAGGGCTGGTGCCTGTCTGGTACCAGTCATGCATGACAGACTAGTCATTGGATGCAAAAGGCGTACCTGGTTTCAATATAAATGCATAGAATCCATATGCTTTATGATGCATTATTATCAATACCCATGGAAATCGCCAAAATAGTTTTGGCGAGAGGCTCCATTTGTCCATATGCAGCTTATGTTTAAACGGCAGAAATTATGCACGATGGATATAGTATAGAAAAAGTTCATCTCCAATGTATGTCATTGACGTCTGACGTACCGTTTGCGCCGGACGACCGCCTGATGGTGTCACGGTCGGTCCACCAGGTGGCGCAGCGGACGTTCAACCAGCTAGACCATAGCAACGTAATGTAAGTCAAGCGTTGTTTTTCCCGTGGTGCGCTTACCTTGGGTCTGCTGCGAGCGCGCCACGTTAATTTTGATAGGGGGCATTGAGAACCTATGTGTCTCATAAAGTTAAAGCGTACCATGACGATACCGACGGTCTTCCACTAGCGGCGCCTTTTTCTACCCACGAATCAGCAGAACGTATGCGGTCATAACTGCTGACAGGCATGGTGCATACTTTGAAAACTCTGGCACGGGTGGTATGGACCTCCAGTGTGTCTCCCTCAAATGCTTCCCTACAGGCTGGGTGTTGGAATGATGGCGGCAAGATGATGCATGAAACGATACTATAACCCGTATGTTCTGTATAAATTGGATGTCATTCTGGTGAATTGCCATTTTAGTGAATCCTCAGGAGAATTAAATAGCGCATGAAAAGAGTCACTGAACCATGTGTGAAAAGCAAAACATAAAAGCAAGTCTATGTGAGACATACCGTCATTTGTATCAAAACATGTCCCAAGGGAAACCCGCTCCCTAACTTCGCTGCATGTATATATATATATATATATATATATATATATATATATATATATATATATATATATATATATATATATTTGAAAACTCTGGCACGGGTGGTATGGACCTCCAGTGTGTCTCCCTCAAATGCTTCCCTACAGGCTGGGTGTTGGAATGATGGCGGCAAGATGATGCATGAAACGATACTATAACCCGTATGTTCTGTATAAATTGGATGTCATTCTGGTGAATTGCCATTTTAGTGAATCCTCAGGAGAATTAAATAGTGCATGAAAAGAGTCACTGAACCATGTGTGAAAAGCAATATATATATATATATATATATATATATATATATATATATATATATATATATATATATAGATAGATATTCTTACTAGTCTACGGAGCAAGTGTTTCTGGGCGGGCGTGTGGTAGTACCCCTCCATCCAGATGTGGTTTGAAGACACTTAATTCTGAGAAAATATCGGTCTCAATTGATGACGCCGATATCGGTTCCATCAGTTTTGTGGAATTCATCCCAAAGCCACAAAGTTGCGTCTGTGGACATAAATAAAGTTTAATATTTCAAACGTTATGAGCCAACTGGTATGAGTCCTCGAGTGAGCTGAAATGGCTTGCCATGAACTTACAATGTTGCGTACCGTGAACACACAGCCTGTAGCCCAGACCCAAACGCAACAAGCATGGTCAATGTCCTATGGATGCAATGCGATAAAAGCAATATTTGATAAAAGGAAGAACGCATTGAGCCTTGTTTGCTGGGTATTCTGAGCTGGGATATATTATCCTGGCAAAAATCGCTCTAAAATAGACGAGAAGATACTGCCTAAGTGACGTCATCAAGTAAACATTAGTTTGACAAAATGGCACGCTTTAAGCTGTGCTAACGCTCATGAGTATAGCCAATACTTCATTAATAATGTCGATAAACCAGTAGCTCCTGGTCTACTGGAGGTCGATGATTGTCATAATAAGACCTCCTATCTTACAACCATATATTCACAGCCTAATGTGATGCAATGCAACGTGGAAATGCTCATGCTGCATCACATAGACTCTGGTACTAAAAAATCGGGTTGTTACTTTTACTGACACTATTATTACTGGTACTAATAGATAGGCAATCGAGCTGTTCACGTGGCTAAAATTGAAACAGGTATCATGTTTGTGAGGTCCCAACTCGCGACAGCGAAAATGCCCAGAAATGATCGACAACCACAGACGCAGATGATGACCGGCACACGTACAAGCACACGCAATCACATACTTCTCTGGCACAGATATCAAACTGTGCCTAACATGGATATGGACACCGAAAAATCCTGTTATCCTGACCGTGGAGGGATCATGTCCACGCTTTAATCGATAGGGTTTAAGGAGAGCGATCGGCTGGCGTGCCCTGATGGAGTTTTTGACGTCAGCTGCGAGCACCCGAGTTACGTGGCAGAGTTGCCAAGGGACGCCTTAAAAAGTCATCTGCCTATAATCCCTAATTAACTGGCGGAAGCAAATATAAATATTGTTGCAGGTATCTCAATGTTACATATTTAAGCACGTGAAATGGTTTGGTCAAAATAGTGCACCTGCCGACCACGTGCAGCCGCAGAATGCAAAAGCGGCGCCTGAAGGGAGTGTGGGGGGGGGGGGGGTGATGGGCGAGGGGGAGCTCCAAAGCAACACTCATATTGAACGTTGCCTGTGGTGCCGCAGAAACAGAACAGAATAGCCTCCACCCTCGCTCTCTGAAAAAATTAGCCAACGAAGATCCCGCTAACTGTGTTCCCAATGGTCGGAGATTCGTGTCATTCTTAATTGCAATGCAGGTCCGTTAAACGCATGGCCCTCTGTTTGAGAGTGTATGTGTGTGGGATAGGGGGGGGGGCACGTCCGGTGTGTGGGATGGAGGGGGGCACGTCTGGTGTGTGGGATGGGGGGGGGGGGGCACGTCTGGTGTGTGGGATGGGGGGGGGGGCACGTCTGGTAACGGCGGAAGCATCAGAACGATGTTGGCGTCCTTAATGTCTCAGAATATTGTCATAATGATGATGATGATAATTGCAACCGCTTATGTCGTTATCGTTATTCGGTGACGGCCTGCCAGTTGACAACGAAACCGTAAGCACACGCCATGGGGTTCTGAAATGCGTGGGTGATATGTGATTGATCATGAGCCTGACACAGCTTGAAGTCAATCATTTAGGAAAGGAAATGAGTTCCTACGTCTTCAGTCCTGAGTGGTTTTATCGTTTGTTCACTGACCACTGCAGCTTACTCGTAATCCAGCACATTAAACCCGCTCATCTAGCCGTCATGGCTTATAATGTTTTGTGAAGGGTCAACTGATGCTGCGTAGAGTGTCAAACGATCAGAGTACACCTTTGCGTGACGTCAGCACCTCCCGTGGTCACCATTGGCCGTCGATTCGGTCACGGCCGGCTCGCCAGCTTGATTACACAGCCGGCGGTGCAGGGGCCGTCATTACGGGCGGAGGGTCGGCTGGCGCCCGCGCCCGCCGGCCGGCTGCCTCCGCACGGCCGCGCACTGCCACCGGACCGGCAGCGGCTCCGGCACCGGCCCCTGTGCCGCGGGCAGCGGCAGGGGCACGCGGCGGAGCTGCCGCCGCCGGAGCCTGCAGACGTCCGCTCGAGGTGAGGTCCGGGACTCTGGGGGTGATGGGTGGCAGACGAGACGGAGAGAAGTCCAGATGCTCTTGCGACAAAAGGGGGAGGGGGAGTGCTCGTTCATGGCGAGAGGGCCGGCCTCATCTCGGCGATATACGCGGCGTGTGATTAGAGGACAGACTGCTGCAGGGATGGGAAGTCATTGAAGTCTGCGGTGGTGCGGGGATAGAGGACAGGTTACTGCGGATTCAGAGGAAAGATTGCTGCGGTGGTGTGTGGTCAGAGGACAGATTGCTGCGGTGGTGTGTGGTAAGAGGACATGTTGCTGCGGTGGTGCAAGGTCAGCGGACAGATTGCTGTGGTAGTGCCGGGTCAGAGGACAGATTTCTGCTGTGGTTTGTGGTTAGGGGACAGACTTCTGTGGTGTCCAGCTAAGGCCACAACCTGCAGAGACCGCGGGCTCCTAGCTAACCGCGACTCTTCAAAAGCATTTAGTACGGTCTCTGACCCTAAGCCGCCGGTCTAAATCTACGATCGATCAGTTCGCTCTGCTGAACAGCGGCTGAGGGAGCCGTCAATCTCCGGGCGCGACGGCGACGGCTCCTC